CAATATCGTAGTGTATTCCGGTCTGCGCTGATTGGTTGTTATTAATTGACCTGTGACATCATAATTGAAGGGCGGCACGCAATCATCATAGGGATCCTTGCAGGCTCTCTTTCCCCAGAGAGCCTGCTCGCAGGCTAGTGCATATGAAAGCAACTGTTTTGCTGTTATTACTGACAAGCAAGTTGAGTCTTCGGGTTATATTTGGTAGTCCTAAGTAGATATAGACTTATAGCACCTGTTTACATTTAATTCATGCATGCACTTCATGTTTTTGCTAAGATAAACAGAACGTGCCTCGTGCGCTCGCTTGTACGTCAAGCTTCATTTATTTTCAAGACAGTTGTGCAGGAATATTTAGGCATTCATTAAGACATTAACACAATGAGTTTACGTGTTTATTTAGTTTAAAATGAGACAAACGAAAGAAATGGAACCTGTCAGAAATGTACTGGCAGAAATTGAACCTGTCGCAGGGCCGCATCAGAGGGCCGCATTATTCTTGACAAAACAAGAGCTGTTTTATGACGTCATATGGGTTTCTGGGAAAGTATTAGAGACCTTAAAGGCGGTTTTCCACTAGGCGAAATTTTTCGACCGAATCGAAATTTCTCTTTGTTTCAGAGCTCTCGAGCAGAACTAATTGTAAAAAGACAAAGAGAAATTTCGTTTCGGTCGAAAAATTCCGCCTCGTGGAATCAGGCCTTAAGATGTAGGACGGCAAAGCGACGACGACGGCCAAAACAAATTCATTCAAATAAATTTTAATTTTACAAGCTTTGTCACAACAATACACGACAAATAACAATAACCAGACACAGTACTAAAATGCGGTGCCCGCCTACAAATAAAACTTTCGGCGTTTCCGCCTACATGCACAAGTAAAGTTATATTTAGGCCCATTTCATACGCCGTACTTCACATGTACCGAATACATTATTCATTAAAGACAATAGATGAGCTGAAATGCCTCATTATTTATTGTTTGTAATGTATTCGGCACATGTGAAGTACGGCGTATGAAACGGGCCTTATGCCTTAGCACGCTACATTCTCCTGTCGGCCACCAGTTGGTCCCACTGGTTGGTCCGTACGTTAGGATCAAAACTGCGTTTTAAAGCCTTCAAAATAAAATATTTTGGGCTCAAAATACTATCAAAATGAGGAGAAAAGTGAGACCACACGAATCCACTGCCCACTGGCAAACGGCAGAAAACGAGTAAACCAACAATTCCAAAGTTATCAAGGATCAAACGGACTGCATTTTTAATTAATTTAATAATTTTGAGCGATTTTCAACAATACAATTTCACTTATTAAAACTGCACATTAAAACCTTCAAAATGATATTTTGGGCTCAAACTACTAACAAAATAAAGAGAAAATTGAGACGAATCCACTGGTATACGGCCGAAAAAGAGAAAACCAACAATACGAAAGTTATCAAGGTCAAATGTATTGCATTTTTAATTAGTTTAATAATTATGAGCGATTTGTCAACATTACATTTTCGCTCTGCAATTTCGCTTGACTTTATTTTATTTATTTATTTAATTTATTTAACTTTGCCAATAAACATTAAAACACAGAAAATACATATATGGACAATGGCAGGGAACACGCTACAGCTTACGCCAATTACAGCGGCCCTTACATATAAGATACGACATCACAAACACATTAAACTAATAACAACACGATACTCGGGACTTGTTACAGGACAAACATATTGATTTCCATGTTCTTGGATCATCCACGTCGTAGACCGTTTGTAATGCTACTTTATAGTACATAAAAAGTCCATTTTTTAACTGACTAAGGCTGGTGTTATTGCCTGTCAAGTTCTTTGTTAGTACATTCCACATTCTGGTACATCTATTTAAATAGGACTTTTGGAATGTGGTTGTCTTGCATCGTGTTGTCGTGAATGACAAATGGTCAGGATCGGATGATCTTGTTTCCCTTTGGCTGTTGACACTTGTTGGTTGATTCGTCAATTCTCATGAGTCCATGAATTAGTTTGTAGAACACAACCATGTCCAGAAATTCATGCCAGTAGCTCAATGGAATAAGCCCTAAACGTGAAAGTCTCTGGTTGTATGTAGTTTCACAACGGAAGGGTAGATCCAAGACGTACTTAGTCGCGCGTCGTTGAAGTCTTTCTGTGCGTTGGATTAGATTGATGGTTTGTGGTGTCCAGATTTGTGAACCATAGCATAGCTGCGTACGAACGAGAGTCAAGTATAGAGTGCGGCGAACTGCAATGTTTTTGATGTCGAACGTTGATCTACGAATGTATCCTAGGGTCTTGGAGGCTTTGGCGCACTGGTACTCGACATGTTTAGACCAAGTCAGGCTAGATGAAGTTAATATCCCAAGATCACGCTCACTGTCCGTGCTTCCTAGAATGGTGTCATGCAGCGTATACGGGTAGATGATTTTGTTGTGCTTACGGGTGACTCTTAACACTTTGCATTTGCTTGCATTTAATTCCAGGTTCACGTTGGTCGAGCCTTTCTCAAATTTTGACAGGTCACACTGCAGAGCAGCTGCATCAGAGATGGAATTGATGGTCTTGAAGATTTTGGTATCATCAGCAAATGACTTTCAAAGACTTTCAAATGACTTTCAAATCACTTTCAAAGGCCATAAATCACTAGAATAATGTTGTTGAACTTTAGTAATACATTTGACATCCGTAAGTACAATTTCTTACGCTGAATCGAACGGTGGTATTTTTGTCCTTATTGGGCGCATAAAACCAAAGATAAGGCGCAGCAAACAGTCAATCGTGAGAGTTCGAGATTAAAATTGAAAAGAAAACTTTCCTCGAAAAAAGGAATTCGGAAAACGTGAAAGGATTATTTTGAGCGGCTTGTCCGTTTAAAGGCCATAAATCGCTAGAAGTCAATTTTACATCCATAAATACGTTTCACGCTGATTGCAACAGTGGTATTGTTGTCCTTGTTTGGACCATAAAACAGGAGATAAAGCCTAGCAAACAGTCGATCCTGTGAGTACAAGATTAATTAATTTTCCCGCAAAAATGAATAAATTCCGAGCAAGTGCAAGGAATTTTTACTAGGCGATTAAGGAAACGTATACCCTGGATTCCAGAGCCTTCAGTAAATAATAAATTGAAACGTCGTGAAGGCTCTGGTTCAACGGGAGGATTCTTTGATTAAACCGCGCCAATCACAAAACAGAATTAGTGGTTTTAGTACAGATTATTTACTGAAGGCTCTGGAATCCAGGGTAGGAAACGTATTGATGCCAACTAACAAACGGACGGACAAACTCACAGGCAGAATATAAAGCGGTGCCAAACTTGGCACGGGCACCGCAATTACTTATGATAACATTACAAATGTGACAGGAAATCACAACAGCTTCAGGCCAATTACTGTTATCCCAAAACGTAAACGTACAAGTACAGTGTTAATACACAAACATACACACACATATATATAGATACCAGAGATAGATACAGATCTAATTTAATGCGGTATAGTAATATTTAATTAAGAGATTTTTAAAGGTTATTAGAGAGTTAGATTTATCGGTTATTGATCCTGGTAATATATTCCATATTCTTGTTGTTCTTATCGTATAAGTCTGTTGGTAGGTAGAGGTTTTACATTTCCTAACTTGGAAGTTTATGGAGTTCGGATCCACTGATCTTGTTACTTGTAATTCGTGAGTTTTCATTAGGTTTGGGAACAACTGCATCCGAGAGGCACATGATACCGCAATTTGCCTTGTAGAAAAATAACATGTCTAGATATTCATGCCAATAACTTAGAGGTAGAAAGACCAAGTCAATAAGCCTTTGGGCACAGTGTAGCTGCTTCCACAAAGGAAAGGTAGATCTAAAATGTATTTGGAAGCACGTCTTTGTACGCGTTCTAGATGATTGTAAAGAAAGCTTATCCAATATCGTATATTATCAATCATATGAATTTAATACAGCTTGAAGAGATCAAAAACAGAGGGTTTTTTATTGAGTGAAGTTCCACATTACTTCTTACTTACTGAAATGCAAATGTTGTACACAGGACGTAAAAGCTCTGCTTTAGCGGTTGTAAACAGACCGTGCACGACGTCTACATCTCCCCGTTTGATTTTAATTATCCATTTCTTTTCTTAAATATTGTTAATATCATTGTATTACTACCCGTCGTCGTCACGTTGCCGTTCTAGATCTTAAGGTCTCTAATTGTCCCGCGTAACCTCTGGGCGACCTCGCCTCCACGTGGCGAACCTTTGAGAGGGCTCGGGCAGAGATTGTAATACCAACACAAACGTTTCCAACTGCAAGTATATGACCAGATGGAACGTAAATATTTTACAGTAGCTTTCCTAAGCATTGCCTATAATTATACTGGATTTTATTATATTAATTATGTTATTATGGAATAACCAATAAAAAACGAATAGCTTGTTTGACTTCGTTAGAGTGTAACAGTAGCAATTAGAAACTATACATTGAACCAACAAAATGTATCACTTTATTACTTTCATTATATAACAATATAAACATACAACTTTTTTTCAAATAAACTTATGTCCCACTTTCATTTCTAATAAAACACCAATCTTAACAAAACGCAACAATTATTTAAATAAAAGTGTGCGATCGAACCCTTTGCCATTTGCGTCCAATAGACAAATAAAATACCTGGTACCAATACTGTTGCATCCAAACGTATGTATAATATATGCAATCATTGAGCAAACGGTACAGGTATATACAGTAATTGCGAAATTGTCCTCGCATATAAAACCACATAGCAAAATTGGACGTCAAATATCGCTCTTAATGAGTCCGAATACAATGTGCGTCCCTTGCTTAATAACAAACTCGTTTGTAATCTTTCCAGTCTGCCGCAGTCTATAAACTATATAACAAACGTCTCTTCATATATGCATATAACACTGTGCATTTGTTTTGCAACAAGAACCTCCTCTCTGATTTTTCCAATCAGTCCTCCGATTTTTCTGTGAGCACTAACGAACGTTTTTACACCCAGAACGTCTTTTCACGAGTTTCTTTTTCGATCACAAACTCAATAACAAACTCTCTTGTGATTTTTCCAGTCAGCTCTCTGGCATTTCTGTGAACAATAACGAATGTTTTTACAACCGGAACATCTCTTGGTCTTCACGTCTTCTTCGCCACAAACACTGCACATGTTTCTCCAAGCTTCTTCGGATGTGATATCATTCAGTTCTTTCAGCGATGGTGAAACCTTGATAGTTTTCTTAAGGATGTAGTCAAATAACTCTTGCTTGAAGGTGCTACACTGGTGTAAGCGGATGAGGTACTTCCTGGAGGGAACATGGCCAGTTTCCATGACAACATCAACGCAAGCAGTGAATGATGCATCTTTGGCGTGGCCAATGGAATCGTGTACACAACGTTGACACTTAACACCAGTACCCATGATACATTCATAACAAGAAGTACTAAACAAAACGAAGAGAATATCATTCATCAGGTCTTCCTTCTTTCTCGCAGGCTCTTCTGGTAAGCTGTTGATTGCAGCTCGCAGTGCTCGGAATGCTCCTTGTTCAGCTGCCATCTCAATAGCACAATAATGAAGACCGTATTTAGCAGACGGGTCAGCACCTGAATGAAATAAAGTAATATTTTTTAATGTGCAAAACAGGAGCTCATGCTAAGTTCGAGATGGAAATGGTACCCACTGAATCTTACGATAATATATGGGAAGACAGTGCTATTTCTGTACAAATTTGAGTTAATTTTAACACTAATGAAGATCCAGACTTCCGGATAGAAAGCCTTGCCAGACAAAAACAAAAATGGTGTTTTCCACAAAAATACATTTGTCACAGGCTTATAATGACCCTACAGTATAAATATTTTGCATTAGCAACCCATTTGACACTTTAAAGTTACCAGCAAATTTTATGGTTTCTAACAATTCTACAAAACGACGAAGTATCTACCCATGATAATAGTAAAATCATAGTGACTGGCTTACCATATTTACACAGGAGTTTAATAATCTTTGGATTGTGATCATAATAGCAAGCCATATGTAGTGCTTGAGGAACACAATTTCCATGACGTACCACGGCTTTCGCTCCAGCTTTCAACAAAACTTCAAGTTGATCAATCATGTTGGCTTTCACAGCTTCAGTAACCAGCCCACCTTCAAAACCTGGCAGTGAACTATCGAGAAAAATACCTTTCTCCACAAACGACTTGAACTTTGACAGCGTCTGCTCGAACTTTAGGAAATCAAGGATCTCTTTCTCTTTTCTCAGTAGCAGAAAGCAGTAATGTGTGTGACAGTTCTTTGCTGCCCACTCAATAGCTCCTGGCGTTCCCCTCCATAATTCAAGGTTGGACGTACAATACACGGCTGCATTGCTTAACGAGCTCTCGGATCTCATAACGAACGGAATTTTACAGTTTGGCAACTTGCGTTCACCAATGAGGAAACTAAGGACATGATGGGATGCTTGAGAAGCACTCATTATTGCACCAGGAGGAGGGAAAACTGAGCCAAGTTGATGAACATGTTCGTAGTATTCCTTCGCAAAGCCTCGCTGACGCTTGTACCTGAAATCAAGCAATGCAGCGCTCCACAGCCAAGCACTTGCAGAGGATGAAAGACCAAATGCTTGTTGATTCGATTTCTTCGAAGCAAATGCAAGAGCTCCTCTGTCATCACCAAGCTTCATGTATACTTCGAGAACATGAAAACGCCAGTTGGCATACGATGACCAACTATATTGGAGAAATGAATACCTTTCAAGTAGCTTGGAAATACTAAAATGTACTAAGAAAGCATTTTTATAGAAGATTAGAATACAGCGGTAAATTTGGGAGATTCTATGGAAGATCAAAATCCTGACACACGCTGACTATTTTATAGAAAATAATATCGAACTATATAACAGTAGTCCGACTATGTGAAATTGTCTGGTATAACCCGCAGTTTTATCGTCTATTAAAGCTAGCCTATCGAAAATAATTATACCCAATATACCGTAGTTTGCAAATAAGGATAAAAAGTCGCAGATATATAAACTATTATTTATTCCCACATGAAACTTTCATGTTGACAGATTTAATCTGATAAACCAATCGTGCTTCACGTGAATATGAAATGTGAGCATAACTTAAGGGCTGTTTGGTATGCCGGAACTGGACAAAAGGCGGGACAATTTTGACGTATTCAAACAAGTCACTGGGCTTAAATGAAAGTTCAAACGCCGATTAAAGGGACTGAAATATTGGCGAGATCTCTTAGTTCAAGAAGATTATGCCACTAGAACAACCTTTCGTTTACAACTCTAGTACTGTAATCCATCACTAGGAAAATAATGCAGTTTTGCTGAATCAAAAACATATTTCAATACGTCAACATTATCCTGCCCGGCAAAGCGGTATCACGTAAACGGCGTTTTTACCTGTTAATAAACAATGTTTTTATCTGTTCATGCGACTGCGTGTTCATCCTCAAATTGCAAATGACGATATACTATAAATGTAATTGTGAAAAGTGCCAAACACTTATTAGTTCATACCTGTGGAAGTTGGGATCCAGTTTCTCGAGCAGTAGATATTTCTCCAAAGCTTCCTTGTAGCGCCCCATTTTACGCAAAGTATTTGCCTGACCATGCACAGCTCTGAAGTAACTTCGTAGATGGTTGTTACTCCAGCATCTTCCTTCTGCAACATCTGAAGCAAAATCTGGGCTGATCATGGGTGCAATTTCAACAGCTTTGTTGTAAAATTCTATGGAGAAAACAAAATAAATTTACAACCCTAATCTCATCAGTTGCCAGCTGCAAATCTCGGTTTGTAAAACGTTTTGGCTTAAATTCCATGCAAATTTGCTTACAGAGTTTTCCGCAGCTGGAATTTGGAAACCTTAAATTCTATGCGGGCAAAGCACAATGAGAGCATCATTCAATCAGTCTATAAATCATATATGGGGCCCATTTCTTACAGACATGTTCAATAGGCAATTCCAGCTTTTAGTTTATGCGTGCAGGGAACGATGGGAAGTAGGGTATCATATTGCTGATTATGCTGAAAAAATAAAAATGGTGGCCGTGTAAATACGGAGTGATAGGGGACCGGTCATTATTTATGGCGGGGGGTGGCACCGAAGAGAAAATGGTTGGGTAAACTAAATTTTGAGTAAGTAAAAGGTTGGGTAAATGAAAAACAAAACAACTCAAGGGTTGGGTAATAAAAAGCTATAGTCATATGTCAATACAATATGTGAATCAATCAGTCACTGTCTTGATCATTTTCCAATTTGTTAGAAGACAAATGGTGTCTTCAAAGAAAGCACATGTGCAGACAACATGATACATTAGACTGCAGCAAATTTCACAAGCAGTTATCAAACTCCTCAGTGTCACAGAAATCGGGTAAAGGACATATGTGACAACTGAATGGTAATCTTTTGTAAAGTTTAATTTTGGCCAGGGGTGGGTATTTATTTTTTACTTGATATTTGAGGTTGGGTAATCAAATTTTTGACTTTTTAATGGTTGGGTCAGCAAAATTTTTGCTACGAAAAACATTTCTCTTCGGTGCCACCCCTCACCATAAATAATGACCGGTCCCTAGCTTATACTTGTAAATATTGAAATATTTCGGTTGTTTCGGTAGTTTTTATTGACATTTTTCAGCAAATCAGCAATATGATACCTTACTTCCCATCATCCCCTGCAGGCATAAACTAAAAGCTGGAATTGCCTATATCTCCTTAACGAGAACAATTCATTCACAAGTTTAAGGTTTGCAAAGGACAACCTTTTTTGAATTGGCTGTATAATGTATAGGTGTTTTATCTTCTTACGAGTATGAGCCGGGAAAGCAGAAAATTAATTCTACTTAACCACGGCTGGGAATCGAACCCGCGACCTTCGCATTTCTAGGACGACGCCCTACCTTCTGAGCTACAAGGCCAAGTTGGGCCGTGGTCAAGTAGAATTAATTTTCTGCTTGCCCGGCTCATACTCGTGGAAAAATAACATCATTGCCCGGCTCAATGTCGCTGGAAAAATAACATCGTTCCCAACTTGGCCTCGTAAGATCAAAACACCTATACATTACATCACGAGTAGAATCTCAGAAAAAAACAACACATACAACATTCGCTGGATTAATAGCTGGCACCAGGCATGAAAAAGAAGAAATTCGTTCATGTCATTACCATCACAAAAAATAAGATCGTTCCCAACTTGGCCTTGTAGCTCAGAAGGTAGAGCGTCGTTCTAGAAATGCGAAGGTCGCGGGTCAATTCAGAAGTATTACATTGGGCCAGAGCCATTGCCTTCTTCATAGTGACACCACTAAGATCACTGCAGCTCCTTATTCTGAAATTCTGTGGTATTGTTCTCACTATGAGAATCGACAGCTCAAATTCACCACATGATATGTACAAGCACTCGGCAGGAAATTCATGGAAACGGTTAAAGATCTGGAAGGACATTGAACTGTTTCAAGTTTGAAATTTGGTTGGAAACAGCTTGCTAGACGGAGGTACAAAAGGACAGTGGTACCGGTTTAATTCTTGCCCTCTCCCAAGAGATCCCATTTTTGAGATGCGGAACACGATACAGGTGAAGTGTAATTTTTGCGTAAACAAACCAAAGAGTAACATTTAGATGAAAACAATGTAATGGCCAGTAATACGATCAACCAGCAAAGTGGAGAGAGAACACTTTAGTGGCATGAGTAAAGCAAAAGATTTTGTCAAACTTGCACGTAAACTTCAACCCTACTGGGAGATGGCCGATAAACCATGAAACTTCACCACAAGAAATTTCATTAGTTTGCAATTCGCCTTAATAAAAAAGATGGCGGCTGTCGATCTACCCACAATGCATTGCAGTCGGAAATGATTTAAAACAACAGTTAAACGTTTTTTTAAATAACACACAAAAGACAAGACGTCAGTTATTCCTATCTGTTAAAGTTTCATGTCATTGTCTGTTTTTCTTGTCACTCTTTTTTGCGGATTTATGCTTGCTGCACGCAAAGGATTGTAGGTAGATCGACATGCCGACATCTTTTTTATTATGGCGAATTGGAGAAGGGATAACTATCTTCGGATACCAGTTCTAGATCCATCTGCCCGACATCCTCTGCATTTGATGGTTATCAACTGTAAGTGACAACTTCAAGCAAACTTGGTGCAAAGGATGGGATACATGTACTTTACCAATCAACAAAATTCAATTAATCTAGGAAGTTTTTCAAGAGAATCATTCTACCCCTCAATTTTTAAAATTACCGCATGTTGAGGTGATCACCTTCCTGCTGGAGGTCCTTGATGATAGGGGACTGGAAAAAACAACCAGGGTGTAGGGTGTGGCAATTCAGGGTAAAAACTGGAATTTTTTTTTTGACATTCTGTCTGACATTTTGTTTCAATATTACTGAGTTTCAAACAGGTTTCCCCATTCCCCCCGTTTTTTTGCCCCCCCCCCCCTTTTCCCTAGAAGGCGAGAACAACATCAGTTGAATCGGGTTTTTTTCCGGTTTATTGATTAACCGCCTCACCCTACCAGGGTACAGTTGCTACTAATCAGTATGTATGCAGTTACGACGTATTGTGAATTCTTCCCAAAGAAAATCACCTCGGCAAAGGAAGAACATAGAGAATTGGAAATGATGTCATTGCACAGTTTGATAGGTATTGTTCACGCTATTTGTGGGGCGGATATGCTTTTTATTGAATGCATATGAATACTTGGTATACAAGATGCTGCAACAATATTTATTACTAGATTGTTGAATGGGTCATTCCAGAAAGGATGCCTCCACACATAGGACATTTGTACCGTACCACACCCAGGGAGGTGGAAATTGGAACCAGGGCTCAGACAATCAAGCAAAATTCATAAATTGAACATATACTGTATGCCTGCAAAAATGCATCTTATTTTTATGTTCTGTGAGCTAAATATTTGTTAGAAAGTAAGAATATGCCTGCACAAGTTCAAAATGTGCCTGCAGATGGTGCTTGTAGGCAGGGGCGCCGGAAGCAATGTGAAGCAGCGGGGGCAGCCATTTCGAAAGGACATTTGCTTCTCAGACATCATTTTTCAGAACGGCAATATTTGTTTAAACTTTACTGTACGGATACTCGATTACTTGTGGCTATTATGGGTCGGAAACTTTGACATTAATTTTCAACAATTTTGTTTGTTGCACCGTGCTAATGGTGCAAAATAAAATCAGTAAACGGACATATATTGCTAGATTTAGCAATAATTTTACTGCAACTGCTTAAAAATTAAGCAAAGATTGCTTAAATATTGCTTTAAAATAGTTATAAATTCCAATTCCTGTGAACAGCGCACAAATTTCGAAGGGCAGTTCCGGTATAAAGGGCAACCTGTTGCCCCCGTGCTGCCCCTGCACTGTTTGGGCAATGGGGGCAGTTGCCCCCGTGGCTCCGGCACCCCTGCTTGTAGGTTTTGATGATGCCATGGTAAAATCTACCTCTGATAATAGCAAACTGCACTAGGAATTTTCATTGCTCAAAAATCAAGCTATTGATGACACTAACTGCAACTGCAAAGGAGTCTAAAACCAAACCTGAGCAATTACTTAAATATGTTATATAATTATTTCACTCACTAATAAATGTTTTACTCACAATCTCAGATAGAGCATATTCATATTCAGGTTGAAGGGTATTGTAGATTGAAATTTATATAGTTATATTTAATAGAGCTAACCAGGAACAGCTGCGAAAAATGCAACTTTACGTCCCTGGCAGGAATCGAACCTGTGACCCTGCGATTCCGGTGCAGCACTACAATACCCTTCAACTAGTATTCAAACGAGTAAGATGCCAACAAAATCTTTATTTTCTTATTCAAACTACAGTACAGTACTGTGAACCAAACACAACAATCTTATATTGTGTTTTTAATTGCCACTAATCAATTATGGATGCAGTATACTAATCTTAATGAAAGAATTTTATTGTAGCAAAATACCATCATCTCTTTATTTACAGTATAGGGATGGATCCAGCATGATCTGGTGCTGAGTTGTGTTGGTCATGTGTGCCGCCCAACCTATCAACTTGCTTCACTACTGCAAAGTCTTGCTTGACTACTGTATTTGAATTGTAATTGTTGTTCACAGTTTGCTTATCATCATGTTATTACTCAAATTACTGTATCTCATTTTGTCTCTAATACCTTTTTGCTATGTCATGAAAAATAGCACCCCCCTGCAACCCCTCTGGCCAGAGCTAGGGGGGTGCACACCCCCTCTGGCCAGGGGGTGCATCCCCTAGTAAATCCATCCCTGTTGCAGTATATAGTCACTGTTTTTTGTACCCACAAGAAACAAACACATTATGCTTTCTTACAATGGGGCAAAGCAGACTTGTTTGAGTCACATATGCAGAGTGGGCTATTGTGGAATAATTAAATAATTTTGGTAATTGAGAATCGTTCCAGAAAATATCCATACCCCCCCCCACGGAGGAAATTTTTGCTGTCCGAAGGGGGAGGGAGGAAAAATGTCTTAGGATGTCCGAAGGGGGGGAGAGGAAAAATGTCTTAGGATGTCCGAAGGAGGGGAGAGGAATGTGGATATGTTTGTCTGAAGGTTTGAGACTGTGATAAAGCTATGTGATCGGCGATTATAATGAGCATTGAGCACGCAATTTTTATCGGCTATATGTAGCTCTTGAACACCGGAACGTTTATGTAACAGCAATAATTATACGTCCACGTAACTCGTAAGCAAAATAAGCGGCCCACTTTTGCATGCATGGCCACCAAAAACTAACTCGCTGTAACAGCGTATCCTGCATGTTGAGAATGAGTTGAAAATTGAAACGCTTTATTTATATAGTTTGCAGTTTTCGTTCGTATATATAAGTTTGAATTATTCAAGTGTTAAAAATAAAAGTTATTAAACTGTTGCTTGAATTAAGAGACTGCTATGTGAACTGAACTCAAAACAATTTGTTTTAGTATATAGTCAATAAAGCTTCCTTGCGAGGTGAGCAATAGAAATGGCCTTCATATTAAGGGCGAGGTTAAGGAATGCAGCAATACTAAAAAATGCATTAACATGTAAGTAAACATAGCAACACTTGTCAATCAGTCGAAAATTACATGGAATTTCAGTCCGAATTTTACTTGAACAAATTTCGAAGTGAATTTCTGCAAATTATCCGACAAAACCTGCCACGTGTTTGTGTTCGCAAGTCACACGAAGTTGCCAAGTGTTCCGCCACGCCGGAGCTACTTGAAAACAGCGTAGAAAAGTCACAATATAAAGCCATCGCTAATTCACTCTACGCTGGAGTGAAATCGTTTGAAAACTTTCACGTCACTTTTGCCGTAACAATTTGAGCACGGTTTCTAAACGGAGCGAGGTGAAAACGCCGGAGCACTTGATAGCTTCGTGTGAACACAAACGTGTAAACTCGAATGCTTTTCAGTTAAATTTCTTGGGTCTATTTGAAAGATTTTGGGTTTACACGAGTGCTAATTCAATTTGTAAACAAACTGTAATGGCGGTAGTGTGAACACACGTAAATTCTGCCCGCATTAGTTCGCTCGCGCGTAGTGTGAACGTAGTCTAATTTTCGGTGACGTTTTCAAACGGCGAGATAGCCTTTAGAAAAATTTAGAAATAGTGGATGTCCGAAGGGGAGGGGGGTAATTTTGGGCTTTGATGTCCGGAGAGGGGGGGAGGATGAACCATTCAAGGATGTCCGAAGGGGGGGAAGGGGGTTATTTTCGATTTCCTCCGTAGGGGGGGTATGGATCTTTTCTGGAATGACCCATTAACCCATTGAGCACTAGTTTGCTATCTCCCTTTGACCCAGTTTGCAGAACATGGCACATTTCGACAAGATCTCAGGTGCGCTAAACCAGATATTTTCGGAGGTGCATGGGGGATTTGAAATCATCAGGTGCGCACCTTAAAAGTTGTAAAAATCGCCCCAATTGAGACTTTCTTATTGACCAAGTGCAGAATCAATCTACTTTCTGTCTTTCAATGCTACAAATATGAAATGTTAAAACATCTGCTGATCTCCGTCTTCCTACAACTCAATTTCTGGGCGGCTCCATGTTTTAGGGTCTTCCCACATCACAGTCTCACTCAACCGACCCCCAATTGCACCTTTAGGGATCAAGCTAACAGGCACTAGCTGGGGTCAGGTGCACTATATTTGTGAAAGAGAATTTCCCCTCGGGTGCACTTGTGCCACATTCTGTAGACTGGCCCTTGACAAGTATAAAAATCGTGGGGCACGTTCAAAGGGCTCCCAACTCTTGGTTTGCTCGCACCAATCAAGCAAAGCAGTTTCTTGGAATACTATGAACAGGGATTGAATGATGGTGACAACAGATAACAAAATTGGACGGATTTTATGGTAAATACTTTGCATGCATATTTTTGTCCCTGTCAAAATTCCGTAATTTTATTTTATTTCTTTAAAACATACACCCAATTTAACGATTGTATATTAATTGGAAATAATGTTTTCAACACATTCAACAAATATAAAATACAACAAAACTTACCAAGCGCCTCTGGATAGCTATCAGCATCAAACAATGCCATGACATTGTATGCTTCGGGACAATACGGCGAAATAGCCAAAGCGTTCTTCGCTCCATTCACAGGATCTTCCGCCACATAACATTTTCGTGCTTTTTCTTCGGCCTTGTATATTCTTTTGCTTCCATAAACATTTGGCATGGCAAGCATTTCACACGACACTGGACTGCCCATGTTGAAAAGGCTTTCAATACGCGATTGAAATTCCGGGTCTTTTGCGATGTCAGCTTCGCCAAAACGCTCAAATTTGAGAGGATACATAGGATTATTAATAGTCATAATGTCTCCGCCAAACATTTTGGCAAGTTGCTCCATATTTAAAGACGAAAAGAGACGAAATAAACCTTGTAGTGCACCACACGAGGACACTGATTTAGTGACTTTGTTACCGTGTTCAAGTTTGTGGTGGTGTCGGGTTTCGCGAATGGCGGGAAATCTCGCCAATCAGGGACAAACCGGAAGTGCGCATGCTAAAATATCGCAAGTCGATCGAAGATAAATTTTCTTTTACATCGCTGGAATATCTTGACTGATCTGGACTTTCGCAGCAAGTACTATTTAAGGCTGTGGAACTCCAAAACGCGCCGTGGAATATACAGACCACTGATACAGGCCCCCCAGTTCAGGCCCTGGGAACGAGGTTGGGTTGGACTTGGTTGGACCTAGCTAATTTTGATTTTTTACTGCATTTTTCGCACGTGCATGCGCACACGCACAGAACTTTTAACACATTTTATTAAATAATCAAATGAAAATGAATAGTTTTATGTATGATTTAAAGTGTATTTGTTGAGGTAATTAGTACTCATCATAAAATTTAGAACGATTGAACCTTTTCCGTGCGTATTATGAAAAACTCTTAATGAAAAGCAGCCTTCATTGCGCGATATAGACCTAGACATGCTAAAAGTGATGTCATTTGAAAAGGACCTAATACAGCCTCTCGTTTTTGCGTGGCCCATTTTTTGGCCTTTGTACTTTTTGTGGTTGGTATACAACACTTTTGCCCTCACATTTTCCATCAATATGGCGTAGGTCGATTGCACGCTACGTCATGGCGGCCATATTGATGGTATCTGAAACGAATTTCGAGCTCATTATCTTTCCTTGAATTTGGCACCAAGAATGGCCGCCACTTTATTGTTTTTATATTCCCAAGAAATTGGTTGCAATCCACCTATACAAGATGATCAGTCTACAACATACAGTAAAATATTTGCAAAATTTGAAGAGTATCAGAAAGATTTGGTTGTAGATTTCTGCGGATGTCTTGTCTCAAAGGCAAACAAGATGATGTGCCAGTGTAGGTGGTGCCAAAAATAAGAAAGCTTCGGATTCATAGGGATGCAAAACGATCGACGTTCTCCTTGAATTTTTCGGGTAGTACGTTGTAGCCCTGGAGAAGACAGCCTGTATAAATGTAGCTGACTGTTAAGTTGCTAGGTGGAGTTGACCAAGACTAAAACATCCCACGATTCCCGCTTTTTTCTCAAAAAATCCCAAAGTGTCCCGTTTTCCGGAAAGAAGACTGAAACAGATTTAGCATTGTTGAAATAATTTGAAATAAATAAACGAAGTGGATCCCATGCATTCACGAAATCTGGATCCGATCAATATTTTCAAGACCTAAATTTCTTATGTTGCCCCAATAAATTATCAAACCATTAATGAAAACATGCATTAGATGTACCAATTCACAACTATTTCTCTACTAAAAAGCTTATTTTCTATTACTCGTTAACTACAGTAGAAAAATCCCATCACTTTAAAAAATCCCAAGACCCTGTTCTCAAGAATGTAGAAGAGAGCCTGGAATTCAGGAAACGAGGTTAGTATAAAGATGAGACAGGTGAGTGCAGCTCATGGTCAACTCGAAAAGCAATATTAATAACGGAGTGATTAAATTCTTCACTGCAAGAGGCATTCGACCAAAACTGCATTGTCCAAGTACATATGGGAATTGAAAAAGAAGAACACAAAATATACTCTATGAAGTGGCCAATTTGAAAATATGCAAAAACTTCAAACGGCTGTGACAATGGTTCACTATATGTATATTGACCTTTAGACTTATTCCAAGTTTCTCTCTAGCTGTGTATGTGTTGTTTTCTAAGGAAGGAAGAAAAAGAAGGGATTCACCATGGACTTGTAGAGTCTGATGACAAATACAAATGAATAGAAACATTTTTGAAGATGACCACCATGTGTAGCACATAGATATCTTATATGCACTAGATAGCGCATCTCTGTTAGTAAAATTGAAGCCAAGAATATTCCAGCGGTTACCTCCATTTGAATAGATGGTGGCCATATTGGAGTTTCCCACTCGCTAATAAACGCTTAAAAACAACAATAACTTTGATCATTTGAATAGTTTGAAAATGT